TACTCTTTACTTTTTAGTTCGATATAACTATATTTATTGTTTATTAAGTGATAGTTGTTCGATAGCCATCGCAACACTTATCTTACTTTCAATAAATATTGAAAACAAAATATTTTGCATTACAATTTTTATTTTCATGTTATGATTCTCTCAACCAATTTTTTTTAAACTATTTAATAGCTTTCGTCGCGGGCTAACCAAACTAAACCCAACACGACTACAAAGTATGTGCAAAATATTTGCATACTTTTAGGCATATTTTGGCATCTCAAAGGGAACAAATCCACTGAACGGACAGAACAAAAATAATAATATTATAGATAAAAATTTTTAACGGCAGACCAAAATATGGAATTTAATAATTTTTGTTGTCCGTTCAGTTGATTTGTTCCCTTTGAGATGCCAAAATATGCCTAAAAGTATGCAAATATTTTGCGCATACTTTGTAGTCGTGTTGGGTTTAGTTTGATTACAAACAGACAGACACACATAGAAATGAAGCTAATAAAAGAGTGTTAAAAAGTATGCAAACATTTTGCGCATACTTTGTAATCGTGTTGAGTTTAGTTTTTTAGTTACAAACAGACATACAAGTGAAACTAATATAAGCGTGTTAAAAACGGCACGAGTCACACAATTTGCAAAGTAAGCACTCACTGACTACTGAGGAAACAAGACGCGCGTGGAAGTCTGAACACGCTAGAAAGGCGCGCCGCGTCATATATTTGTGTACCGCCGTTGGGTGAATCAAATCAAAATCGCCGCCGGCGTGAACGTGCTAAAAATCATTTAATTGTCATCATTGTCGCAGCACATCAGTTGGCTCCAACATTTTTGTCATCGTATTAAAAATCTAAACTAATGTCCATTTTATAAATTATTCACCTTTTGTGAACAAAAACTAAATTAAATTGTTTTAATTTTTCGTAAAAAAATTTTTCAGCTGTCAAACCTTAATTTTTTATGTTGGTAACACCAATCAAACTTCGAATGAAAATATTTAGTTGAAAATCGTAATACCAAAAGAGAGTTGGGTTGATCTGAAGTTGAATTGCTTCGACTTTAATTCAAACGAGTTTAGTTGAAACCCGTAATCGAGGTATTAAACAATATATGTAGCAATCTTTCAAGAAAATGTGCTAGGTACGGCAGATGAAACTATTATCTCATGAATATCTTTATTAACACAAAATGGAATAAGTTCAGTGTTTGTAAAAAGTAAATGTGTTGGTCGAAATACTTATTTATTTCGTAAAGATTGGTTCATTCTTCATTATGAGACAAAGCAAGTTTTGTAACTTCTCTTTTTTTTCGTGTCTACAATTAAGATTGATCGAAAAAAGTCGATAGAACATTAGTATTTTTAGTATTTATACATATCAGTATTTTAATTTATACATTTCGCTATTTCATAAATTAACACAAATGTTTGATTTATATATTTATAGTTATTATTTTTTAATATAATATCAAACAATCTGACTTGACTTTTCAGCAATCGAACAAGAAAAAGAAAAGAATCAACTCATTGCTGGCATTGAAAATTTTGATTCTAAAAAGTTGAAACACACTGAAACGTGCGAGAAAAATCCTTTGCCAACAAAAGAAGTCATTGAAGAAGAAAAGAAGGCTTAAAAGAAAATCCGATAGAGCATTCACGTAACTTCATGTTGAATGCTTATTTTATTACTCATTCCTAATATATAATATTATTAAAAGAGACACTACCTTGTGAGAAGAATTTTATAATTTTTGCATATTTATAATAAAAGAAAAAAGTAATAAAAAAAAACAGTCATACTTTGTGTAAGTTTAAATGGAGAACAAGATTTATTTATCTATGATGCAGAGTATTACTCACTTTTAATTGAAATTTTAAATTTATCTATGTCTATTTAAAGTCATAAGATAATTTTACGCAACCAATGCGATATTTTGGTTGGCAAGTGCAGAGGATACTGTTAATAAACTAAAAGTGAACACGAATTTCAATCACAGGCTTTAGCAATATAAAATAACTACGAGATTGTATGAACGTACATAATTTGTTGGAAATACAGAGGAACTTTATAGTGATAGGAGATGTAAGAGGGTCAATCATTGCGGCAATATAGCAAAGCAACATGGGCGTTCTCGGTAATACAAACTACGCAGTACGCATGAACAGATCTATACTGGTTTCGACCCAAATACTGCATTTTTTCTCAAAATACTTAATTTGTACACGGCATGGCGAAATAATCTGGCAACACTATTTGGTATTCTGCGCTAATGGTCAATTCACATAGAACTTTTGCTTCGTATTGCGTCAGACATTTGTTTTGGCAGAAAAGTTCGATGCACGTATGAGTAATGAGTACGTTCATATAACAAGTTTTTGACGCGAGGCCAAGCAAAATGTTAGATATGGATAACATGATACGAAACTCTTCTCTTTGCTTTCTGAGAGAGCCCATGAACTTTCAGTGATGACAAAAAAACCACGAGTTCATGAGCTACTGAACAGATGACAAGCAAAACAACGAACTACCACTAAGAATCCCGCAGAAATAAATTGCGAAATCAGTGGGTTATTTGTGTGATCAGATTTTTTGGTGATTTTTATGTGTTTCTAATCTTTATTTAAAGTGATTTAAAATAGTCTTGATTTTAAGAAAGAGCGTGTATTTGGTCGCAGAGTATCGTTTTGCTTAGCAGTACCAATTGTCAACGTATATACATATTTTGGTTAGAATTCCCATCAAATGTTATGTAAACTTTGACTTTCGAATAAATTATCAAAAGATATTAGTTTATTGAGTATATAAAAAATAAGTAATGTTGATACTTAGGTTATTAAAAAACTTGTAAGTGTTTGAAATATTAAAATATTTTGAAAATCATTTGTGATTAAAATAAACATATACATATATTTATACCGCATGTAGGATATCTAGTTTGTTAAATTAATATTAATTATGTATATTTTTTGTTATATGAAAACCGAAAAATCCCAAGAAATACATTTAAAAATCTCAAAACTTATTTCTTTCCTTAGTTACACCACTGTCAAATGTTATAAAAATTGTTGCCTTTGACAGCACTCTTTCGAATCAAAGAGTTTCGTATGTGTGCGTTTACATTGGGACTCTTGTAACCCAAAGCGGTTTTTTGTGGGCGAGGGGACGACGAGGAAAGACGAAGAGACCGTGCCACTCCTGTTCGGGTGCCACTCCTTTGTGTTCTTGTTCGTAACAGCTCGCTGCTACCCTTTTCAGCATTCCTTTTCACTTTTAAATTCTTTGAATGGTTGTAAGAGCGCTCGGTTTCAAATGAATCTATACCATTCGTTCCGAAATTTGAATTCTGTTATCTATTTTTTGTATGATATGCAAATATGTATGCATAGAATAATAGAAATATTTTGAAAAATTGTAAACAAGGAGAAAATTAAGATTCACGTAAATTTGTCAAAGTATCACGTTCTGCGTGAATTTTTGGCAACACTTGCAACAGCATCACGTTCTACTGGCACTTTTTGCACGCATATTATGCAAATAATCGGCAACGTTAAATTTTTGTCTGCACATCAGCAGAGTATCAGCAAATATGCAGCACAGTAGCTGTACTGGTGCAATTATTTACTGCCAGTATTTATTTCGTTACCGACAAAGCTCTATATCGTAACGTCAAAGAAAAGTTATCGAAATTTTAAATTAAAATTAAGAATTACCGGTCAATAGCACGATTGTATCTGAAGTTGATATTTGTTGTTTTGCACAAAATATTTGAACCATTTTGTGAGTTTAAGTACAATAAGACAATAATAGTAATAACTCCTCCTTCTTAGAAATATTTTGAAAAATTGTAAATAAGGAGAAAATTAAGATTCACGCAAATTTGTCAAAGTATCACGCTCTGCGTAAATTTCTGGAAACACTTGCAACAGTATCACGTTGTACTGTCACTTTTTTCACGCAATTTATGCTAATAATCGGCAATACAAAATTTTAAGTGAGTAGGTTTCATTGGGTATGCAAAGAGGCGATCAGTGTCGTACGGGGCTCGTTGCATGCAGGACATAGGTTTTGTATGTCGGGAGCTAGTCTGGATAGGTAGAAGTTTAACCAGCTACAATACCCAGAGTGAAGTTGCGCAAGGTTCACTCTTGTTTCACGCGGCAACTTGAGCTCTTGTTCTGCAATATGTGGTGTTTGGACTCCAAGTACGCCATTCACTAGGAAGGAATCGCGTCCGAAACTGAGTTGATATATGTCGCTAATTCGTCGACGTGTTGGAGGGATGTTCTTCTGATGTTCCTAGGTGGCGGCTTCGTTTCAAGCAGGTGACTGCAGGGATGGTCTCAGCGGAACTCCCCGTTGAACACTCTTTAATTTAGATTGTTGTTGTAGTTCATGGATCACCTCTTCAGTCCTGAAGGGAGCGTAGTTTGTTCGATGTCCTCAAGCAGCGTATTATGGTTGACTGTGAATGCTTTTGACAAGTCCAACGCGGACAGTTAGGTGGGAGGTTCCTGGTTAAGGCCACGAGCTATCTGGACGTTTATGACGCTAAGTGCTGTGCACTTTACAGAATCCGTATTGGTATTTGGCTAGGCTCAGGTGGTGTCTGTAGGTCGGGAGTAGCAAGGTCTCAAGTGTTTTCCCTACTGGGGAAAGGAGAGTTATCGGGCGATAAGACTCCCCTAGGTTGGCAGGATTCCCAGGTTTCTGTACCTCGATCACCTTGCGGAATTGACGTCACGTTGAGAACCGGTAGGAGATACATGGATCAAGGAAGATTTCGAGTAAACCGACTTGTCCGGAAGGAAGTTTAGGATTACTAACGTTATTTTAAGGTTATTTTCCAATAATGTTAATTCTGACCTGGCAATACTATTTATCTAAGTATTATGTTTGTCATCTCTTTTTCATCATTCATTTCTCATTGTTATTATCTTTGTTTATATTTATACATACTTTCTTTATATATTATTACATAATATTAGGGAATAAAAAATCTCATTGTATGTATATGTAACCAATTTTAATTATAAAAAATTACACTTTACTGTTTTTTATGTATAATACTTGTAAACATTTGCATGCACAAAATTATGTTTTCTAATCTTTCTAATGAATGAAGCAATTATGTATGTATATAAAGAAAATTTGGGTAAATTTTATCTGCTCAAATATGCTTTTATGAGGAATGTGGAAGTCTGCTTACAAGCTTTATTGCTCATCTTTGTCTTTGGCACCGTGTTTAAGAATTCTGGTGAACTCTATATAATCAAACAGACCGTGTTTGATAGGTGCTTCACGATACATTTCGTCGACCTGAAATATACAAAAAAATTATATTCCAAAATTTAAAATGTAATACTAATGTAATTCATATAAATATAAACAATTTCATTTACTTAGAAAACTAAACAAATAGACAATAGTAAAATGCTACTTACATCCTCATCGGTGAAACGATCTCCCATTGTGGTCAATAGCTCGCGCAATCGATCCTCGGGTAATACACCGTTATTTTCCTCATCAAAGCAACCGAAAGCATTTTTAATTACATCTTCAGGATCTGTTCCTTGTAGGCGTTCCCCAAATAAGGTAAGGAACATAGTGAAATTTATAGGTCCAGGTGCTTCGTTCATCATCGCTTCTAAATACTCGTCTGTTGGATTTTTTCCTAGAGAAGCTAACATATCATGCAAATCCTCTTTTTCAACGAAACCATCTCTATTTTGATCGATCATATTAAAAGCTTCTTTAAACTCGGCTATTTGGGCCTGATCGAACATAGCGAACACATTTGATGTGGCGCGTTGTGCTCGTTTTTTTGTGGTAGCACGACGTCCAGCGGTTTTACGAGAAGACATTTTTAAACCAAAAAAATCTATAAAAAAAAATGGAAAAAAGAAATTTTTCTATAGAAGTTTTAGTATTCTGTGCTATCTAAGGCCGATCTCGTTACGCTACATAGTTAGAAAATTAAGATTTCCACTTAAGCAGAAGTTGCATTGTAAAAAACAAAAACATTTGGAACTTATATAAGGATGGATACAAAAATGAAGCGCGATGCATGGGTACCACGCAACAGAAATCAATTTTAATTGCAAAAAAAATAAAATATTCCATATCTGACAAGCAAAAAAAAACTTGTAAACTTACGCTGCAACGCTTTAAATGTAGTTATCAAGTAGGTAGCGTTATTTTGGTCTGGTATTATTTTCGTATGGTCAAAATGTGTTATTTGATAATCGAATTTCTTTTGTGCGGTTGTAGTTTTTAAAGAAAAAATGATAAATAAACAAACAACAGATTTACAGCCTCTGGTAGTCAAATATTGGCAACAGAACAAAAGTACTAGCGAAATAGGCAATGTTTTCAATAAACACATACTATTGTTCAGTACAATATTAATAAATACAAAAGGATAGGTGGAGTTGCAAGACTTCATAATAGTGGAACGTGGCTGAAAGTAAAGTTGCCGTCGTCACTAACGCCAAGGAGTTGAAAGAAGCTGCCATAGCAAAACTCCACCATCAAAATGTTCAGCATTTTAAGCTTTCTCCGATTTTAGAGCGTATACACCACGAAACAAGCCATAATTATCGAAGAGAAATATTTACTATACTATTACACGGATGAAGAAACTTTTGATTCTGAAATTTGTATTGATGAGTCCAAATTTATTTATTTGGATCTGACGGTCGTCGATTTGTAGGGCGCAAAGAGGGCTAACCGCTAAAGTATAAAAAAAAACTAAATAAGACTGTTAGCTCGGAGGAGGCTGCATTGTGTGGTGTATGGTGCCATGGAAGTAAAAGGAGTGCAGTGGGAACAAATGGCGTCGGTAACTTTGTTTTCATCAAAGGAATTATGTAAGTAATGGACTACAGGCAATATTAAAAATTAGTTTGCTCTGTCAGCAGCTTAAGTCAGTTTAAATGGTGGATACTGCTTTATTCAGGATAACGATCCGAAACATTCTCCTTCACTTAAGGAATGGTTATAGTAAAACGTGCTGCCACACCCTCCCTACACAAGATTTGGTGCATTCTATGAATAAGAGATTGCAAAACATGATAGAGCACAAAGATGGACATACAAAGTATCAATTTTACTTAAAGAATGAAGAAAAATTTTACTTAAAATGTTAATTATTGCAAACTGTATAGCTTATCACTTTTATTTATTTTCTTAAGTGTAAGCTATTGAGGCAGTCAAAATAATAGTAGTGCAAGGATTAAATTGTCCAAACACAAATATAAAAGCAATGGGATGAGGTAAGCACTACACGGCTTATCAGCACGATCTTGTAAAAAAAAACTTATTTCAAAATGCAAAACGTATAAAGTTGAAAATTAAATTAGTTGTTCACCGACAAGGATTCAAAATGACTTAAAATAAAAACCGAATCTTGGAATACGTGGCCGTCGTCCGGAAATAACTGACAGAGAAGCTAAGCGCGTAGTAAGATTCTCAAAGCAGAATCCTTTTGCTCAAAACTCAACTTCTCTTTGGATTAAAATCCAATTTTTAGGAACAAAAAACCATCATAGGGGCTTGAAACTAGCTATAAATATCTAGTAACTAATAACAAAAAATTAAATTATAAAATCAGTTGCCTTCATGAGATCAAATAATTAAAATAACGACCAGCTTAGGTCTATTTATAAATTGGGATCTTCGCTAAGATAATATTCATTGCAAATGAAGGTAGTGTGGCATCTACAAATGTTTCTGTGACATGATGTGCGGTGAGGGGTCGTGGGTAGTAAGGGTAAACTATTTATTCGGTAGGTAGTGAAACCAAGACAAGCTACTCAGGACATGATGATAATGATAATTACTATTATTATTAGCGAAAATGTATTCAATACGGCCAAATCGATGTCGCGTGCGCGCTTGAAAGTTAAGTAATATTAAAATGAATTAATTTCTTAAGTGTTCTTTTATAAATAACATGTAAATAAAATAATTCGCTAAAATAAAGAGCGAAGTAAATATTAAGCAAATAACAAACCAACATCTTCTTTATTTATTTTATACATTCTTTGCACCACTATTAAATTGACCGCAACTGCATGTAAGTATATAAAAATCACGTGAGAGGATTTCCCTAGGCCAACTTCCAAACTACTCAATCGATTTTAGAAAAAATGTAACACACTGTGTTCAGTTTTACCCAAATTAAAAGATAGGAAGGTTCACATTTAAATTATGTAAACAATAAATATATTGCCTAGATAATAGCGTCGCGTGAACAACACATGTTGTTATAGTTGTTGTCCTATCGGTTATCTAGACCATATTTGAGTGTCAAGGCACAAGTTAGTTGCCATCGAAATCATTTAACGGGAGGCCCATAAAACGTGCTTTTTCAGTGAATGTCAAAACACTCGCACACACACCAGCATTCACTTAAATATAAACATGTAAGCAAACAATATTATACAAAAACATAAACTCAAGAAATTTTTGAAAGATTATTGTTAATTAGTTCAGATTTTTTAAACTAGGCTCAACATTTTTTTTCCGATTTGAACTGCCAAAACCTGTGTAAAAAGGAGTACCACAACGGTCAATTATTGGACCCATATTATTTACAAATAATATAGAACAAAATTAAAAATTACATAATTTTATATGCGGATGATACGTTAATTTACGCTGAAGGAGAAAATTATAAAGAGTGTCCAGATAAACTGTTAAGTGTTGGTTAAAAATTAACAAACTTAAATTAAACAAGTACGGAAGAGCTAAGTTCGGATGTAACCGAACATTTTATACTCTCGCAAAGTCAAATGGTATACTCGTTTGAGATTTCTTTGTGGATTGACTGATATTTTCGGTAGAAGGTCAACTATAGGTACTGGGGTCCACATATTCAGTACCTAGGCGCTTGAACAGTTTTGGTTCGATTTAGAAAACTTTTGGTCACAAGGTGGCATACTTTAAACGTATTATTCACGCAAAGTGTTACCCCGATATAATCATTGTTACTTGATTTGCATAGTGGAAAGTGAAAGAATCAGATGGAATTTAAAATGGTGTTATATGGGAAGTAGGCGTAGTTGTAGTCCGATTTCGCCCATTTTCGCACTATGACATAGATATATATATGAAAAGAACGTTATGCACCGAATTTGGTTGAAATCGGTTAAGTAGATCTCAAGATATGGGTTTTCACCTAAAAGTGGGCTGTGCCACGCCCACTGTCTAATTTTGAACGCGGTTTCTATTAAGTCATCTCATACGATCCCAGAGATAAAATTTAATGTCTCTGGCGTGTTCAGTGCTTGATTTATCGCGCTTTTAGTATTTTTTAACAGTACCATTATATGGGGAGTGGGCGGAGTTGCCACCCGATTTCACCCATTTTCACACTGTAGGTAGAGGTTCTAAAAGAATTTGCTTCCAGTGATTTTTGTTATTATAGCATTAGCGGTTTAGGAGATATGCACATTAAACCTATTAGAGGCGGGACCACGCCCACTTTTTAAAAAAAAATTTTAACTGCAGATGCCCCTCCCTAATGTGATCCTGTGTACCAAATAACAGTCTTGTATCTTATTGCGGAGCTTAGTTATGGCATTTGTTTTTGATTAATGGCGTTTTGTGGGCGTGGCAGTGGTCCGATTACGCCCATCTGCAATACCAACCGTCTCACGGTACCATGAAACATGTCTACCAAGTTTCATAAAGATATCTCAATTTTTACTCAAGTTAGAGCTTGCACGGACGGACGGACAGACGGACGGGCGGACAGACGGACGGACGGACAGACAGTCACCCGGATTTCAACTCGTCTCTTCATCCTGATCATTTATATATACATAACCCTATATCTAACTCGATTAGTTTTAGGTGATACAAACAACCGTTAGGTGAACAAAACTATTATACTCTGTAGCAACAGGTTGCGAGAGTATAACAAGTAAGGAAGGGCTAAGTTCGGATGTAACCGAACATTTTATACTATGTGGATTGACGATATTTTCGGTAGAAGGTCAACTATAGGCACTGGGGTCCACATATTTAGTACTTAGGGGCTTGAACAGTTTTGGTTCGATTTAGACAATTTTTGGTCACAAGGTGGCATACTTTAAACGTATTATTCACCTAAAGTTTTACCCCGATATAATCATTGTTGCTTGATATGCATAGTGGAAAGTGAAAGAATTAGATGGAATTGAAAATGGTGTTATATGGGAAATAGGCGTGGTTGTAGCCCGATTTCGCCCATTTTCGCACTATAACATAGAAATATGAAAAGAACGTTATGCACCGAATTTGCTTGAAATCGGTTAAGCAGATCCCAAGATATGGGGTCTCACCTAAAAGTGGGCGGTGCTACGCCCACTGACTAATTTTGAACGCGGTTCCTATAAATTCATCTCATACCATCCCGGAGATAAAATTTAATGTCTCTGGCGTGTTTAGGGCTTGGTTTATCGCGCTTTTAGTATTTTTTTAATAGTACCGTTATATGGGGAGTGGGCGGGCTTGTCACCCGATTTGCTCCCAGTGAATTTGGTTATTATAGCTTCAGCGGTTTACAAGATGTGCACATTAAACTTAATAGGGGCGGGACCACGCCCACTTTTTAAAAAAAATTTTAAGTGCAGATGCCCCTCCCTAATGTGATCCTTTGTACCAAATAACAGTCTTGTATCTTATTGCGGAGCTTAGTTATGGCAATTTATTTGTTTTTGATTAATGGCGTTTTGTGGGTGTGGCAGTGGTCCGATTATCTGCAATACCAACCGTCTTACGGTACCAAGTTTTATGAAGATATCTCAATTTTTACTCAAATCCAATCGAAAAATTAGGGAAAATCTTTAAGGACCTGTCAAACCCAAAAATAAATCGGAACTCTGGGAGAAGGTTTAGTGCACATGCCGTAGCATAATTCAGTCTATACCTAGAAAATGTGCAGATGTTTTAGACAATAAGGGTACGCTACAAAGTACAAAAAATCTTTTGTATTAGTTCTCTTAAAATATGTATAATTATTATTATAAGATATAAGAATTCAAGTTTTTTGTCCTCTATTGTATTTTACCTTTGGTTTTGCAATATTTATGAATTGTTTTTTCCAATATTTTTACTGTCACTAATAACACTTGACGTGAAGTAAATAAAAAAAAGTATTTTAGTTGAATTCAAATAAAATTTAATTTTTTTTAGAATGGAAAATTAGTAGTAGTTTATTGTCTGTAACTGTATATGTACATATAAAAAAATGTGGTAGCTTAGTAATCTTTTAACTAGTTTTATATTCAAGAACTTGTCGGAACACGCTTAACTACAAAATATAAAAACACATTAAAATAGGGCATTAGACCGCCGACAGCCGTATAAAGTTTTACATGTAAATGCAAATAACCTACGCCCGTTAAAACATTTTTCAAAATGAACTTGCACGTATGGCCACACAAGAACGTTGCATGCCGGTTGGAATAGTTTTGGTAATAATACGTATTCTTTACTGGCAACGATTTACCGGGATGTGTGACCGCAGGGCTAATCATACATATATAAATACGTATGTAATCTAAAAACACAATGTAAATAGGTAATTTAGTTCAAATTTTCTACATGTATTTCTTATTTATATTCTTAAGTTCAAAATGCAAAAACAAAAATGTATATTCCTATTTTAATTTTTGTGCTAACGGGATTTTAGTGTAAGAACAAGTAAACATAGGCACAATTAAGTCTGCGTTCAGTTAGCTTGAAATGATGTAGAGCAGGTTCGCCTCCACGCGGTGCATCCTGAGTAACGCTAAATGAACTGCGGTTTTACGGCCTTTTCTAGAACTCCTACGGATTTGACCTTTGCTCGACACGGACATAGCTTGGACTCTTAGATGGAACGGTTTGAACCCTGAGCTGGTGGTCGTGGTATTCTGTCACCTGAGTATGCAGGGGTGACACCCTGCAGAAATGGCTGATGGGCTAATACCAAGGCCGCCTCCGTTCCGTTAAAACCATGGCAGGCCTCAGAGTACGTTCCCCTTCTGTCATAATTAAGTTGGTGTGGTAGGTGTTTGTTGAGATGACTCCTTCTTTGCGCTGGTCGGCTCTGAACGCACTGCCTTATAAGGGCGTGCGTCAACCCTCGCCTTGGCCTCGTAACTGAGACAACCTTCGGTCCATTTATAGGCGACTACCTTTCCAGGAGACGGATAGCGGCTCTGAGTGGGGACCCAATCAAAACGAATACTAACTACACAACCAAGGACGATGGAGGAAGCAGGTCGAAACCGACCTCTTCAAAAGGGGACAGTTCCCTGTGGGGGACATCCTCACCCATGGGGACGAAACCGTCCCCGCTAAAGGGTGAGGAGAAAAATTCCGGGGGTGTCTGACTTACCGTTGTTGTTGTAGCGGCAGAATTCTACCGAGTTGACAGTCCTTGGCCAGAATAAATCCGGGTCCGTTCCGGTTACGTAGACCCGACTGTCGTGGGAACGGACTGACTTACCGTCACTAGGGGCGGTAAGGCAGGGAGAGTGGGCAGGAATCTGCCGACTGACACCTTAGGCAGGAATCGCCAGCACTAGCAGAGGAACCTCTGTTAAGTTCATGGGGGGCGCGGGGTCCTCAGCGAACGCTAAGGGTTCCGGGGGGAAGCGCGTGACCACAGCTAAAAAACTGAAGTCGGACCGTCGGCTGGCTGCTAAGATTTTGGAGCGCTATGGTGGCAAGCAGGCTGACCAGAATTCTGATCAGCATGCTAGCACAGTTGAGTGGGCTAAAAGGGTGCTAAGCGACGTTAATGACGGGAAAGTGGGAAAGCGGGAGTGGTCCACGAGTTATGTGGCCCTATGCTGCCAACGCAATACTGCGACACCAGCCTTAACGGTTGTGCAATCTGCACCAGATTCGCGCACTGGTCCGCCACTCCAACTGAGTGGCCAAGAAAGGACCTCTACGGCCCTAAGGAGCTCTAGGCAGCATGACTCCCAATCTGATCAACCCCCTCTACCTTCATCCTGCTCCAATCCCCGT